GCACTCAATCACTGGCTTCCTGTCTGTTTTCTTATGCATGGTGCAGACATCTATGAGATTAGGAAGTTGATAGCAAGCATTAACAACTTGTATAAATTCACTGTAGTATGGAGAGGAAACTATATATTTCAGACATCTAGTTTTCTGTTGAGGAAATACATTTTAAGATGGTGGAAACAAATATCCTATGCATATAGACACCCCAAATTGCTAACCTCTTCAACAGGTAACAGGTAATACCAGGTATTAAAACCTAATATGTAGTAAATGTTAATTCTGGGCAGATGTAGATAACAATTGGTAAGCACGAGTCAACAGCAGTTACAAATGGTACAAACAAGTAATAGAAAAGGTAATGTTGCAACACATTGGCACACTGGTTCACATTGCTGCCTTGCAACACTGGGTTTCATTCCAGTTCTGGGGTGAAGTTTGTATGTTCTCCCCAGGCTCATGTGGGTTTCCACATATTACATAGTACTTACTTCAAAGTCCAACAACACACTAGTATGTTGATTGGCTTCTGGGAAGACTGGTCCTGCTGTGAACTTGTGTTAATCTGTGTGTTCCCTGTGACTGGTGTCTTGGCTGGGGTCAGTCCAGCCGTGCACCAATTGCTTGCTGGAAAACCGAGCCCTTGTGACTCTGTCCTGGATAAAGTGTTTACAAAAATGGGTGATGAAAGGTCTTACTTGTTTCAGAAACATGAAATAATTATAAACATTTAAATTTCAAATCAATGATGTTCAGCACCGTGATGTGGCAGATTAGCACCTGTGTCTCACCTCTTCAGTCAATTCGTGCTCTGGATATATGCCTGTGTGGAGTTGACATGTTCTCTCCAGGCTCTCTCCTAGGTGTTCCAGTTTTCTCTTATCTCCAAGACTACAATTGATTAGCAAGATTTCACGGACAATTCTAACCGGCTGTTTTTCTGTAATTTCTGATGGAAAGATGTTTTATCAAGGAGAAGACCAGTCCCAGTCTCAATTCACAACTTGTGCCTTTAATTCAGGGTCCATCTAGTGTACTTGCAATAATAGGTTGGTAATCAATGATCTTCCCAGGGCTGTAGTAATACTGAAAACAAACTCACTGAAAAACCAGCACCGGTTTCCACCACAAGGAAACCTGCACTTAAAACTATGTAAAATGTTTAATGTAAAAATGTCCTCAGAGGGCAATGAAAATTTAAGTACGTATAGTAAAAAGGTAACAGATAAGAGGAGGCCATTCATCCCATTTGGCATCTTATTGATCCCGGGATCACATCCAGGCTCAAAGTAAGCCAAAATAATCTCTTCCCCCACATGACTGCGCAGTTTGTTCCATACTCCCACAACCCTCTAGGTAAAGACAGTATGGGACAAGTTGAACAATTCTTGTTCTTGGTTTTAAGTGCACTTCCACTTCTGGCCTGTTTCACTTTGCACTCTGAAGACATCCGCTGTGTTGCACTGAGGATTTTGAATACTTGTATCAGGTCCCCCTTCTCTGTTCAAGATTAAAAAGGTTCAATTCCTTCAAGCTGTCAGTACAGGAAATTCCTATGTGCCTCAGCATGCTTACTACTTGACTGATTCCAGAGCAGCAGTATTTTTTGTGAAGTGGGGACCAAAGTTGTACACAACATTCTGTTCTTCTGAAACTAAATATACTGCATTATACCCTTGTAGTGTATACGTTACTATCAGAATAACACTGAAACACTATTTTGATCAATAAACTCAATTGCTTAATGAAAGGAATTTCTGGGGTATTAAATGCTCTCAGTGAACTTCCCCAGTTTAAAACAAAAATAATGAACCTAGAGAAAATATCTGACATATTTTTGATGACTAATATAATTTGTATTTTACAATTCAAAAATGCCCAAGACAGAACAAGTTAGCTGTCCATGACTAACACTTTTGACTTTATGATTGCAGGAAAAGAATTAGTCAAGTATCCAAAACCCTGAGGGACCACTAAGCCCGTTAGTTCATTCCACCTGGGCCCTGAATCACTGGCACTAACTGATGCGTGTAATTGATCTGCTTGCTCATTTAGACTTTCTCCTGCACTTACTCCTTGACTTCACGAACACAAAAGTATAAAGTATGTTGTTTTAAAAAATTTTAGCACACAGAACATCGAGCAGACTCTCATCAATTCTTAGTGACTGCTCTTGACAGAAGACATAACCCTGAAACTGAATTGATTGTGATGTCCCCTGGTGTTAGTGATGTCACTGCTAGGCAACAATGTTCTGTGGACATGGTCTTGCCAGTATTCCATGGTGAAGATGCCAAGTAAATCCAAAAAGCTCTAAGCGTTCAAAATACCATTTTAATTATTTAACCACCGCTTTAAGGTGAAGAGCAGTTAGGCTTTGCTGTTGTTTTTCATTAATTTTTTTTCTTATGGTTATTTTTTAGTTACATCAGTTTTATCATTTTTAGAAGCAGTTATGATTTGTACAACCACATAACGTATTTTTTGGTTACCATTTACTACTTACAAAAATGTTACTGCTGCTATTGATTATTTTGCTATACTTTCCAACATAAAAGGCATTTTCCCCTAAATCATACTTAGTCAAACTTATACACTATTGTTTCAGATGTAAAACCGAGGTCCTGACTCTCTGTGGTCATTAAAAATCCCAGGGCGTTTCTCGAAAAGAGCAGAGCTGTAATCTCTCCTCCCCACTAATATAGCTGATGTGTGGTGAGCGTTCTGGCGCACTATGGCTGCCATCGCATCATCCAGGTGGATGCTGCACATTGGTGGTGGTAGAGGGGAGTTCCCATTACCTGTAAAGTTCTTTGAGTGGAGTGTCCAGAAAAGCGCTATATAAGTGTAAGCAATTATTATTATAACTAAATAGTAATTACCAGTAATATGAAGTCAAATATTTTTATCCTATGCATTCCTATAGTTGTATACATTATGAGAATGTACAGTAATTGAACAAAGTGAAAAATAGAATCTCAATAATTAAAACAGACCTTAATCAGCATTCTAACAATTACATTAAAACCAAATTTTGGTGAAACATTTTCATGTGGGTTTGCAAAACACACCTGTATTTTTTCCTACACACATCAGTTTGTTATTTTGAAAATAAGTTTGTAGGAGTACAAGAGGTCAAAAGCAAATATGACCAATTATGTAGTCTATAAACTAGACTTAGTGAGAGATATCATAGAGTGTAGCAACAGGAGATTTCAGTCAGCCTCCAGTTTTTATTTAAAAATGCTAGGCTGAAATCTACCGATGACTGCGGTCACGGGGAAGGAAGAACATGGTTTCAAATCCCAGGAGGAATTTTGTTGTACCTTTTAGAAAAGCACTCCATGATGGCTTCAAAACACCCATCTGTATGAATGGCTACAAATGGGGGTCACTTTGGATAAAAGCATTAGCCAAACAAACAGCAGCACATTGATCCCAGGAGCCCATCAAGAACACAGGATCAGACCTTTCCGTTCCTTGAAAGGAGCCAGTACAACAGCCTCAGGAACAGAGCTACAAATCTGCTCATAGCAGCAAACAGAGCAACATCTGTACAAAGAAACGGCTTGCCATGTCCTCAATTATAAAAATGTCTTGTGGTTGATAGAAATATTCCCACCTTGTTGTCAATTACATAAGACATACTTTTTTTTATTAAATACTACCATTACAATTTATCAACACATGTATGCCAGCAGCCATATCACCCTGTAACTCACAACTGGCAACCAACTGAAGTTAAGCAGGTGTGAGCCTGGTCAGTACCAGGAAGTGAGACCTCCTGGAAAAACAAAGGTTGCTGTTGGAAAAGATGTTAGTGGGGCCAGTATAGGGCACTCACCCTGTGGTCAGTGTGAGTCCTAATGCCCCAGTATAGAGATGGGAACACTATACTGCACAATAGACATTGTCCTTTGAATGAGACGTACTGTAAAATGGAGGTTCTGACTCTCTATGGTCATTAAAAAGCACAGGGTGTCTCTCAAAAAGAATAGGGGTGTTATCCTGGTCTTTACCAATCTTGGCCTGCTAGTAATCCCCACCAATGAACTGGCTTCATCACTCCTTCCCCCCACTGATAGCTGGTGTGTGGTGGGTGTCTAGAAAAGCACTATATACTGTAAGTGTAAGGAATTATTATTATTAAGCAATAGCATTACTACCACAGCAGTCCAAAAATTTGAGAAAGCTCACCATCACTTTTCCTCAGATATGTGTTGTTGTGTGTTGTGTGTTGACTGCACGTTGGTTAGCATCGGCTCCCGCACAGTACTAGCGGCTAAACCAGGGGGCACGCTGGAGCATCCAGGCTTTGCTGGTGGAGAACCGCGACACCCTGCAACCACAGGGCGTCAGCGAGGGCAGGATGCACTGCTCGCTCCTCCGAGACAACCTTCTCGGTCACGGCAATGGCACCGTGGACTTGCGGACCAAGGCGCACCCCAGCCAGGGGGTGGCAGTGTCCCATGCCAGACGCTTCCTGCTTATCCTCGTCAGGCACCCTAGCATCCATGGAGGAGCACTCAACGCCAAGCCTTCCACACCTCCGCTTACATCCAAAGGACAGGCTGCTAACACCCCCAACCTGACTTCCAAACAACAAAGGCGATAGACAGTTCCAAGACACAGTAGGGTTGCACCAGATGTACAGCATTTGTACACCACTGAGCAGTTGGGGTAGAGCTGGGCCCTTTTACAAACGGATTCTTTGGTTATGATTACACATCCACCATCGAAAGGGCTAAGAACATCAGAAATCAAGGGCCAGAGCGTGTTTCTCCTGCAGTTCAGTAACGAGCAGAGTCTACCTACTGATTCTGGATTCCTTTTTATGTGCTCGAGTTTCAAGAGCAAAGCGAGTACCATGAAGAAACAAAGCGCTTCAAATGAAATTAACAGCTGTCCATCCAAACTGCTTGACAACATATAAACGAACTCACATTTTCATAACCCTGCTGTGTCATTATCCGATTAAGAAAGAAATGTAATGCAACAAAGAAAAAAAAGGATTTGCATCGTTTCTTTATTGGATTGATTGTAACCAACACTATTTTTACCTTCCTGTGCAAACCTTACCTGAGAGTTCTGAAGAAGAATAAGGCAACCATTATACAGTTTCCCTCTCTCACCCTAGTTCTATGTATACAGATATATTTCTGTGGTAATCACCACTAACAGCAGCTTCATCACCCCAAAATTCAAACAAAGATCCAGTCACTCAAACTCAGGCAAGCAAAGTGCCTCACTGTCAAAATGAGGTAGCCAAATTAAAACTGAACAATTTCTAAACAGCTTAAGAAAGAAAAACAATGATGATTCCTTTTAAGTTGTCAGCACAGCACTTCTTCAACCATCAATAGATAATATTTGGTAAGCATCTCCTCTGCCACACAGTCCTTAGGTTCTAACATCAGTAACCATGACTGGATTCTCTCAGATCTTAAAGGGTTAACACTGTACACTATCAAGTAGTCTGGAAAATGATTATACAGTTTTTAATTTTACCTATCACTTTAGAAATTACACAGCAGTTTCAAAGACCACAACTAGCACTTTTTCTTTTTCCCCCACTTGTGTTTGGCTAGTGAAAGAATGTTTTGGGAGTTTCAGAAAGATTAATTTCCTTAACCCACCAGATTACAAAACTACACATTACATAAGTGAGGGCATCACATTCCTGATGAGTGGCTTCTCTTTTCCCATTGTTGGAACAATTCTTAGTCTTCTTGCTGTCCAATCCACCATTAGGAGACCCATTTGACCACACTGTTCAACCTCTCAGGATTCTGCAATCCTGTACATCTGTACGGCCATCTTCGGCCTCAAACTGTGGTGGATGTGTTGTCCGTCAGTCCCTTCCCATCATGCTCTGTTCTCCAGTAACGCGTGAAAGTCTGGGGAGCAGACCAGCTTGTGTGTGATGTGTCCCAAAACTGTCAAATCCCCTGTCCTCCCATCCCCTGCTCCTACTGACACCAGCTCCTGAGAAGCAGAGACAGAGGAAGAGTTAACAGGAGACTGGAAGATACACTTAATATTACATGAGGAATAGAATTTGTTCAGACAAGAAAGAGAGTAATCATTTGTTTGTTCAGTCTAAATTCAGAGCTTTAGCTTTCATGTACCTTAAGAACCAAGTGAAATATAGGACTGAAAAATAAGACTAATAACACTTTTCCCAAGTTAATTTTAGTTGTTTTTTGCTTTGAATTTTACCTATTTTATCCAATAGTTCTCAGTGTGACTCAAAAGATATTTCAATGAATTCCTATTAATATCTGTTCAACTGAAACACAAAGGACATGGCTTAGAAATAACTACTCAGGGATATTTCTGGAGCCGATTCCATGGGGTCTTTCAAGTATCACCTGCATGATAGCTGTGGAGCAATAAGTTACTAGCAACCAAAAAATAAAGGCCAAGTGACTTCCTCTGTTTTGAAACCTTATTCTGTCCGTATGTCCTAGTCTGTATCTCTTTAATAACAGACCGTTCAGTGTTATCCTAGCAACAAACCAACCTGCAGGAAGGAGCAAGGTGTTCCCAGGGAGATGTCCAGCGTGTTCTGACCAAGGACGAGCTGCACACGACCCGACTTCCTGACCAACAGTTTCCCCACCTGCCCCTCCGCCAGGTCTGCCAGTGAGCAGGTGTTCTCTGCAAGCTGTACCTCCTGAGCACAGAGCACAGTGCTTTTAGGGACTCTTGCTATAGAATACAACACATGCCAGCCTACCTCCAGCAAACGAAAGGGCTGGAGCCCAGGGCAACATCACTGTCTTGAGGTAAAAGAATTGCGTTTGTATTTGCGATGAGTCTCCTTCAAGATTTTGAAAATTGTAAAGTCAGTTGCTTTTCTTCCCTGTCAGATGTTCATTACAGCTGTATTAATAAATTATGTGCTACAGTGGAAGTCACTTTCTCTAAATCTATATCTGATCCCATAAATAATGCTTTCAATAAACCACAAGCAGGAAATGGCACAGCAGTTCTAGAGATAAAGCAGTAGAGGAGTGTGTAGGGTACTGGGTCACTGTTTCCCTTGCCCATTATGATTTCATTATAGCTAGCTACATTTCTTTCATGGTTTAAAACCGCGATAAATTTCATATTACCTATAATCTACATAGGCACTCTAAAACATCCAATTTATAAGAGATTAATACAACTTAAAAGGATCAAACAAGTTATTTAAAAAACAATTAAAAGTTTAAACCTACGACAGAACCATGTCAGACACGTGATTGATTTTATCACGAGGCAATACTGCAAAAAAAATGTAGTTTTTACCGACGCTACTGTTGATGTAAGAGGACATCAAAGATAAAAGGGTAAGGAAGTTTAGGACAACTAGGCACATTAGGAATAGATTTACAAAAGGAAAACTAAAATTTAAATATAAGTAGAACAGGAAACTAACAACTGTTCCATTTTCTTGTGGACAGGCATGGGGACTTGGTCATTACAAGTGGCTGAGTGACAGTGACAATCATCAATTTAAATGATTAAATGAATAGGGATTATGCCAGGACTACTCCAGCACAATCTCTTCTATGGTACTTTCTACATTATGACTAGGAAACCTTGACAATTCCATTAACTGCTGGACTTGATCCAATGAGTACTTAATTCAATGAACAGACCCTTAACTAATTTAGCCTTCTGCTGAAGATTGCTGAGCAGCTGAAGGGAAATCTTGCATCAAAAAGGATTTGAAAATACCAAGGTAAGCATTCCCATGATTTCTCATGATGTCATGGCAGACCGCCACGTACAGTATACCTGGCTCTTCTCCGTCTTTACAAGAACTGATTGTCCATCCTCTGTCTGCACCTCTGTCTTGATTGGCCGCTGCTCCTGAGTGGGTGGCTGGCCTGGAAGAGTGTCTGGCAGCTGCAAGAAAAGAAGCTCCTCCCCCTTGGACTGACTCCAGCCAATCAAAAGCTCCTTCAGGGACTCTTCCTCTGGCATTGATGGAGGCCTGGAGGATGGTTCCACCTTCTTAATCACAGGAACATCCATAGGCTCCTGCTTGACTGAGGAGAAGGCAGTACAATCACACAAAGAAAAAAAAACATTCTCAGTTTTTTAATCTGTACTACAGAGCAAACAATTTATGAACATTGTAAAGAGAATAAAGAAAAAGTAGAGAAAGTTTACAGGACCTTACTTTCTACGCTGTGAATTTCATATGACAATACTACATTTTAGCATGGTTCTGAGCAAACAGGGACAAACAGAACACACCTTTCATGATGGCCTGGCAATAAATATCCAACTAGACTCCTTGTTCAACAAACGCTTGATGGGAAAAAAACGTGTATTATGTTTTTAATATTAACCACTGCCTTGCATGCTCCAGCTATGAAGGTGTGCATTAAGTTCACTCGGTGTTTTCAGAAGCCTAAGAGTAGCTGTTGCAACACTGCTATTTTGAAAGTATGGCAAACAAATTTATTAAATTAAAAAAAGAAATTACATATTTTGCTTTTGAAATCAACAAATTCATTAACCAGGATTTCATACACTGAGGAAGTCAAAACCACAGAATAAACTGGCACACATCTTCAAATGACAAGACAGACTACTGGGTTCCCTACCACCATTTGCCCCAGGTACCTTTCACGGTGGGCACGGTGTCCAGTTCCATGCTCTCTTCTTCTGTCTTCAGCCCCTCTGATTTGATGCTTCCTTTTAGGTTCTCCTCGTTGGACTCCTCCTTGAAGACCCAGCCTGAGATGGCCAGAGGCAGCTGGACTGGACAGCTGCGCAGGTCACTGCACAGCCGAGGGTCGTCCAGAAACTTGGGGAGGGGGGATAAATATAAGTACAGGACATAAGAAAGAGAGAAGAGGGAAACATGGGGAGGGGATAAAGGGTGACAGAAAGAGTAGAAAATTGAGAAATTCTCTAAATTCTTAGAGAAAAATGATAAAAAGAACAATGAAATCAGAAAACGGTCACTGGCCAACAATGTCCATGCATTATCAAGGCCATGCCAATACATCAGAACTTACTGACACACCAATGACGGACTGACTACCTTTCTGACTATATTTACAAGCAATTTGCATCAAGCAAAATTGTGTTATGGCCCAAACAGTAAAGTCACTCAATCTAGGGCTGGAGATAGTTACCTCAGCTCTGAAACTTGGAAGCATGCAGTGACCTAAATAAGGAGACATACTGTACCACTCCTCCAATAAGCACGGCACCATTTATATGTTAATGCAGAGCTTGTCACATGCTAACAAGTGAAAGGGTCAATATGCAGGATGGTCACTGGAACCAATCTAAGCTTCCTTGTTCTCCCTGGTAAAATAATTAGATGCACAAACTTTTTTAAGATTAAGCCTGAATATAATTTTGTATTATATTATAAGTTATCTATGCTCTGTTAGGTTTATCCATTAGATCAGGTCTTCAGGATAGGTCTGCCATGACAAGACCTTGGGTGGTTTGTTTTTAAGCTTTACTGGTCACTGGAAAGCCATGTACTAAATACATGAAAACGAAAGCCTGTTGCCAGTGCACACTTTGCAAAACATTGCATAAAACAAACTAAAAGTAAAAACCAATAAAGAGCAAAGGCAGACGAATTGGGAAAGAGTGTGGACAGGCACACTAGACACATAGACAAGCATCTGAAGAGAGACAGAGAACAGACATTGTCTCGCTCCAGCATGCGCAGTATCTCTTTGGTCTCCTCCTCTGTTTCTCTCTTCTCCTTCTTGATGTTGATGATGGGTGAGGGGCCCACGGTGGGGGTGTCCCTCTCATTCTCCCAACCACCTGAAGGGGGAGAGACAGGATTATCTCAGAGCCAACATCACTCCCCAAAGCCCCCCTTTTCAGAACCCTCCTTTACACGAACTGTACACGAACTGTGTTACTGTGCACTACTAGTGCATTAACTACACATCCTAAATTTAAATCATAAATATCTATTAATATAAATAGATATCTATTGACTGTGATACAAATCTGCTCTGAATTATGTATAATTGTATTCTGTACATTAAGTTTTAAATCATGTTTCTTGAAAAACTTTTGCAATGTTTTCTAGTGTGTAAACCGTCTTTCTACTTTCAGTAATGGGAACACTTAATAATTCCTTACATATAATGTTTTTCTAGACACTCCACTCAAAGCACTTTACAGGTAATGGGGACTCCCCTCCACCAGCACCAATGTGCAGCATCCACCTGGATGATGTGACAGCAGCCATAATGCGCCTGAATGCTCACCACATATCAGCTAACAGTAGGGAGGAGAACAGAGTGATGAAGCCAATTTATAGATGGGGATTATTAGTATGCCACAATTGGTTAAAGCCAACAGGAAATTTGGCAAGGATGCAAGGGTAACACCCCTAGTCTTTTCGAAAAACACCCTGGGATTTTTAACGATCACAGAGAGTCAGGACCTCACTATACTGGGACATTTGGACCCACACAGACTGCCGGGTGAGCACCCCCTGCTGGCCCTACTAATACCTCTTTCAGCAGCAACCTTCGTTTTTCCCCAGGAGGTCTCCCATCCAGGTACTGGTCAGACATGCTTAGCATCAGTGGGTTGCCAGTTGCGAGTTTCAGGGTGATTTGGCTGCCGACTTGTTAGCTGAACAGTTGTCAGCTGCCTTAAATAAATAATGTTGAAGGCTTCCAAGCAAGTCCAAACCTACAAACTGCGGCATTCCACTTTTTGTACAAGAGCATCTGGTGATGCTGGGTAAAGCAGCCCTCCTGGTGTATGCAGGAACCTAGTTCTGTAACACTGCAAATGTACTATTACTGCCAAGATTATTCATTAGGGTTAGAAGATTTTATTAGGCTGTTTTTGAAGAAAAGCATTGAAGAGTACAAAGGGAGTGTCGCTGAGCAGGTCTTGAATTGTTGTCGGTGTAAAAGGTGTGGTTATAATCTGTAACGCACATCTAAAACAGGTATTAGTGTGACGAAACCTGAAACTTGAGAGTTTCAAATGAATCACTGCAACAGTTACCGAGACAGCTGTAGGCCACAATTTGAGAATAAAAAGGAGGACACTGACTGAAACAGAAATTTCATTTAATCACTTTAACTGTAGTCTCATATAATGAAACCTACAAAGTTTAGAGTTAAGTGGTCAACCAATCTATGAACTGGAGCAGTTTGCACAACAGGCCAAAACATCCAATGACAAGTTGTGAGGCAGAAATCAGAAGCAACTTTAATGGTTAATGAATTTCACCAAGATAAAGTTCAAACAGTGTAAGGATTCCCAAAACAGGCAGCTCAAGTTGCAAGAACAAAATGAAGTATCCATATAACTATTTAAGCTTATGCAGGAACAACAGAGCATCAGATGTTAATGACTTACTAATTAGAATGAAAAAAAAATTAAAACAAGATTAGCATTATAGGCTGGGGTATCAGAAATGAAGAAAGGGAAACTGCAGTTGGGCGCCTATGTTACTTTACACAGGAACCCAATTTTCACATCTGTTCATAGACAGTATGTTACAACAAAGATTGTTAACCGGCTAGTTTTTACACAGGGGCAGTTTGCATTATGAGTCAATTTAAGCAGTAGCAGGATTTGTTTATAGCCTATTTTGTCTATTTTGGGGGCGTAGAGGAAAAGGCAATTGCTCTTTTTTGGTTGTTAAATTGATCCATTTCTCAAAAAAGGAATTCAAATTTTTGTAGGCTTAAAAGTTCTCATAGCAACTCTTCTGATGCAAACCATGAGCTGCACACACTTTTCTACATATCAAATGATTTAATTATATCTACTGTTTGTAAATATAAACTGTTAGTGTTTAAGTACAAAAATAACATATACACTGTATCTTTAGCTAGTCTACAATAATAATAATGATAAGGATGATTTTGAATAACTATTAGGCATTCCAAAAAAGACAACCTATTTACTTTCTTGCAAACTACACACTTTATTGCCGCTTCAACAACAGCATCATTTAAATGAGAAATTTTAGAAAGGCTATTTTTCCTGTGTATCAGTTCTCAAACGTACTTTGGTAAAGACCATGTGCAGTTATATAAACTAATGTCTTCAGAATTACATACAAACATGCTAGAAGCATAATCACATTAGGTAGTAGTTATGAAAACCCAACATCAAATGAGTTTCACTGAGTGTTGAAGTCAGAAAATATGTCTAGCAAGAAAACTGTATTTCACATTGTTTTGGAGCCCTTATTGAAGGAATTCTCATTCACATGTTACTGAATTTAAAATAGAAAAGTGTTAATTGGATGTAGGGGTCAACAGATGGCACTCTTCCCCTGAAGCAAAATGTCCACACCAATACTACAGTATGGGGACAGGAGATACTGTGGAGAAGGAGACTTTATCTTTCAAATCATACTTTAAATTGAGGTTTTACTACTTATTCTTTATGAAAAATTACTAGAAGTGCCTACTGATGTGCTGAATGTTAACCCCAGTGTCCAAGCTAAATTCCACAATCCAGCCTCCATAATGTTCCCCCTGAATTCAGCCAGTGAAGCAATTTCTCACTAATCTGCAGAGCAGCCGGACTGCTGGCACTAATGGTTGTCACATGAGATGTCAGTCATGTGGTTTTGGCACTTCAGTGGTGGAAGAAGCAGGTCCCATCCTGTCTCAAGCACTTTGGGAATTCTTTGGGATTACATGACATTCTCTTACCTTCCACTAGGTGTCACCATTATAAATCTATTAATTATCCATCCACTTACTGCAATAACTGCATCTTCTAATTCAGGGTCGCGGGGGAGCTGAAGTCTATCACGGCAAGCAATGGGCACAAGACAGGGCACAATCTGAATGAAGCCAGTCCATCACAGAGCAGACATGCAAACACTCACAGCTAAGGCCAATTTTCTGAGAAGCCAATTCATCTACCAGCATGTTATTGGACTGTGAAAGGAAATTGGAGCACCCAGAGGAAACCCACGCAAACACAGGGAGAACACACAAACTCCAAACAGACAGCACCCCAGGTCAGAAAAGCCATACTAATCACTGTGCCACCATGCCACCCACTCCATTATTTCAAAATAAAATTAAAAGAAAAAAAACATAAAATGAAAATTTCTGAATTCAAATATTGCTTTTTTGCCCAGTAACAATGCTAAATGCCACAGACTGTATATACATAAACTCATCACTCATTAAACAAATTTTGCTTAAGAGTAATTTCTTTATATGTTCATGAAGGGGCATTTGTTTAAAAAACTTGTGCACTGATTTTTTCTAGTTTAGCTTTATCACTACCACATTTCTAACAGCATTAAAACTATTATTACAGCCAGGTTGTCAAAGGACTCCTCATTAAAAAAAAGTAAAAAAGAAAGTAGAAGCAGAAAAGTAACTGAATGCTTTCTGAAATCAAACCAGACCACCAGAGAGGTGTGCACTTCATAGCTAAGCTCTCTGGTATTCCTGGGAGTACATGCAAAGAGGAGATGCCTTTCTCACCCCTCTTTTTCATCATCATCTCGGCAGGGCCTTGCTCAAAAATGGAGTGGGACTGAATGATCTCAGGGCGTCCCCGACCCCTTCCTCGCCCATCCCGCTGACGATCCCTCTCTCTCTCCTTCCTCTCCTTCTTCTGGTGGCCCTCCACCTTCTGCCTGTTGGAATGCAGAAATGCAGTGATGACATCATGTACCCAAACACTTCCCAACACACACTAAAGAAAGGATTTCCCTCCCTTGTTAATAGTACCAATCTCCTCCACTGTCTAGGCCTAGGCAGTCCCTCCAAGCAGCAAGAGAGAAGGGAGATGGATGTGACAGACCGAGGGGTAAAAGGAACTTGTGGGTTTGTATCTCAGAAGCTCTGCCGTCTGTCCTCCAGACAGCAGATATGACCAACCCTGGAAGCCTTTGCTTCCTGCTTTTTAAACTGTTGTATGACCACCTCTCTTACAACAACTGTTCAGGTGACTGAGGACAGCAGCTCTGTCCCCCCAGTTTATTGGGTCATGTAGTCCAGATAAAGGCTGCCATCTTGTCTGAACTTCCTGCCCTCTCACGCCCTGCATAATTCATAAGTCCAGCCTCGCAAACAATGCTATTTTGGTACTGGCTCTGTTTTGTGGTTGTCATTGTAAAATCACAGGCTTTTGTGGATAGATAGACAACATGCACATAGACACTGGATTCACTCTAACCAAAAATGTTAAATTATGCTTGCAAATGCAAGTTTGCTACTAGACTTGAGTCTTTCTTCATGTTTTGCTAAGCTTTTTAGATTGAAAAAAAATGTAATACAGATGAAGTACTTAAAATATACAACAAACCAGTGAAGGCTGATCTCACTATAATATTTTTTTTTTCCATTTAGGCCTAGTTCTCATTATGAACTCTGTGGAAGAGACCTAGTGGTACTTGTCTATAAAAGATAATTTACTTACTCTTCCTTGGCTTTGCGGCTGATGATATTGGGGGTGAAAGTTTTCTGTAAGATACAGAAAAAAAGACACTGATTGGGCCTGTGACATCTGAGATTTATGCCATCTAAAACTCATCCAACAGCAACCAAATAAAAATGGGACAAATAACAAAAGTCAAAAGTCTGAATGCTTGAAAGTTTAGAAATTTCTTTAGCATTCCTGGTTTTCCGGATTCTTAGGCAACAGATAGTACATGTGACACTAAAATTGCCATGCAGCATTTTTATAACAGGTAAAATATATACTATGAATGTTCAGGTATTATGCGAGATCAACACTAAATTACCAGTCACAGTCACCTATTAGTAGACTAATATGTAGACCTAGATCTAGTTGACTTTATGTTCTCAACCTTCTTTACCAGAAGGACATGAAACAGATTTTTAAACTCATCAGAAAAACAGTTTAATAATAATAATAATAATAATAATAATAATAATAATGTTTCTTTATTAGCCCTATACAATTTCTTGCATTAGGAATTCGTCTTTTCGTATACCCCAGCTTTTCTCCATGGAGACACAGACACACAGACAGGGAGTGAAGCTTGGGGTCAGAGCGCAGGGTCAGCCATTGTACGGCACCCCTGGAGCAGTTAGGGTTAAGGGCCTTCCTCAGGGGCCCAACGGAGTAGGATTCCTCTGCCAGCCGCGGGATTTGAACCGGCAACCTTACAGTCACAGGCGCAGATCCTTAATGTTCCTGCTTTGCCCCCTCACCCCCAGATGCCAAGTGAAGCATAACAGGACAATTTTTTTAGCGTCAAAAATATACTGGTCGGAGAAGTGCAAGACACTGCATATGACAGGCTTACCCCAAAGATGCCTTCAGCTATTTATTCAGAAAACTGTTGCAAAGCAACTGGAATATTTCACTTGCTAAAATGTTGCAAAAAATATTAAAGTTAGTATTTTGATTAGCACAGCTCCACTCGATTCTACTGTACCTACATTAACACATCCAAGAACTTCATCAGTCCAGATGGCACTGCACCTCATAAAATCTGTCTCTGACCAATCTGCTATGTAATTGGGGAGCTGCATGCTCTGTCTATTCACTCCTACCTTCTTCACACCCCCCAGGGTGAGGTCGCGAGAACGCATGGAGGGCAGGCGTCCCGTCACAACAGGGGCAGGGAGTCTCCTTCCGGGCAGCGCAGGCCGAGACACCCCTGGGGGCAAGGGATCCCCACCACAAGGGTCTGACATCGCTGCACAATCACACCACTGCAGCAGAGAAAAGATGGAGAATAAGAGCGACTGAGAAACAGGCGTGAGGAACTCCTTACTAACAATTCACTTTGCCACAATGGCACCATTAAAAGAAATGACCAGTCGCTGAGAAAAAGGGGCTCATGTGATGCGCATCCTCAAACACATCAGTGTGATCCACGTAGCACAAATTCTAATTTGTACTTAATCTTTAGAAAAATATTTATGATGAAATTTATAGTCAGCCACTAACAGGAGAGGTCTGTAACTCTAGTTCTGAAAAGCAACAAGGATAATCGATTGGGCAACTGTTAAAAATGAGGCAACTGACCGAAGACGTGATCTTTTAGTTAAAGTGAAACTTTCACTGAGACTATTCTCCTGTCCTCGTCCTGTCCAGGACTAGAAAACCTTACAGTACCATACACTAACTTCACTCCGCTCTCTTCTGCGGAGCTCTTCGGCCAACGAAAGAGTACTACACGAACAGCAAATAACGTTGTGATGAAAATTTTAAAATGAATTCGCTTTTCGCCATCTACTTGAACTCGCTCGATCCTGTTACATATACAACAAGCTGGCTACACATGTAAATCACTTCATTTACCTGAACTGGAAAGAAAACGATAAAGACTTCTCTTCCAAATGTATTTCAGATACAAAACCAGTACAAATGATACTGAAAATAAATCGTCACCAGCTGAAATGCACTATTTTTGTCGGGTTTTTTTTACAATCTGAGTCACACATACACCTAACTCATGCAAAAACCACCATGACAGACTGATGTTGGACTTTTCCCTTTGAACTTTCACCTTGCTCGCCTGTGCTAGCCACCATGTTTGTAAGGGCAATGTTGTTTCTAGAATAGTTTTGTTCAGATTACACTACCGTTCCGCTGCTGAGATAAGGTTGTACCTTTTGAAGTTAAAATTCTCAGCAATTTCGTCACTAGATCACACAGGTTGCTCAGGTTGTGTATCTCATCAGAAAAAAATTGAGCAGCCATGTCGGCAAACCAAAAGAAGAGTTGTTCTTTCAATGAAGTGGTATGCAAAATTTCCTCACTCTTGTATGGTGCTGCCACCTAATGTGGGGATGTGTGAATCGCCTTAAGGTCAAGTAAAGTTTCCTATGAAATACGTTTGATACTGTGTAGGAGATCTATATTCCTATGTTTACGATGTGTCCTACTATATTGTTTTGCATTATACAACGACAAATGTACACTTCTACCTTGTAATATTTATGACATTGTAATGTTTATTATATATGCACCTCTTATATATTTGTTGTAACACATATGGCGTGTACCACTCTCTAGAAAATTTATATAGCACCTTGCCAGCAATGAAGCCAAATTCTCTTTAAAGACTATTTAAGGTTTTGTGTAGACCACTCTGATTAATGTCAGCAAGCTGACACACTTATTGTAGTGCACAACAGACCAATCGATGCAGAGGACCAAGAGTGAAGGTCCAGACAGGAGTATCTAGTCACATCTATTATTATTATTATTATTATTATTATTATTATTATTATTATTATTATTATTATTA